AAAGCCAAGTGAGTTCTGTGCCCTCCACTTTTTCCCATTTCCTCTAGTTTAGTGTTGCTTCCACCCCTGACATCAAGCCCCTCTCCTTTTCCCAACCAGATCAGAGCAGCGCATGGCCAACCCCGAGGCAGCAGTGAACGGTCCGCCATGATGAGAGTAGCGTTGTCAGTCAGCTCCTGCCACGAGCACACCCCTCCTCCAGGACCACCCGGAGAGGCCAGTGCCAGACTGGAGCCCCCCAGAAACCACCACCGCTGCTGCTGTCTCTTACTCCAGCACTGCACTGATGCCACCAGATCAGGACCAGCAATATTCATATTAGACAGTTGTACAGAAAATTTGAACTGTTATGAAGAGAAACATACTCTAATGATTTTTTTTTTGCATTCATTTATATTCTATTGTTCTTATGAGGTGATTGTCTGACATCTTGCCACTTAAAAGTGAATAGTAATGTTGCTATAGGTAAAAATGATTGTATGAATAAAAAAATATTTTATAAAAGACAAATGTATACAGAAAGAGAGGATTGATAAAACCGAAATATACTGATTGGAACATTAATGTGTGACCAAAACATAAGCTGTCTTTTTGATAGGATTTTCCTCTTGCGCACAAATCTGCTATCTAATTTCCAAGTAAAAGCAACAGCTACCACAGAAATCTTAAATTGGCAATTTATGTTGGCCTGTTTTATTTTTAAGTTTATTAGGGGACACTGATTTGAGATATTCAGAAATGAATATTTGTAAATGTTTCTTGTATCCTTTCAACATGAGCAAGATTTGGACAAAAGAAACACTTTTTGGTATAGTTTTTAACTTAATTTATTTTTAAAGAGATGGTTTGTTAAGAGACTCGCCCCCTTGATGAAATTCAAATCTGGAGTGAATGCACAGATGGGTCTCCATTTGCATGTAGCTAGTAAGAGTGATTCTTACCTTCGGGCCTGCATTCAGTACAGCCCAACTTTTATAACTGTTGTCCTCTCCAAACAAGTCAACCTTTCTACCTGAAGAGTGATGGGAATGCAGCATATTCCTGGTAATGCTACAGTGATCATGCATCGACTTTTTTTCTTTTTGTAATAAAACGCTATCTGTGCCAGCAAAAAGGAAAGGGTTTTGTCTGTGAATCCAACATGCATTCGATCATGCTGGTGATCTGGCCAAGGCCTGACCTAGGCTACTTGAATCCAGGTCTGTTGTGGGCATCAGTATGGTGGAATGATAACATTTTAGATGAAATGTCCCTTAAAGGGGTCATATGATGCGATTTCAATTTTTCCTTTCTCTTTGGAGTGTTACAAGCTCTTGGTGCATAAAGAAGATCTGTAAAGTTGCAAAGACTAAAGTCTCAAATCCAAAGAGATATTCTTTATTAAAGTTAAGAGTCAGCCACGCCTACCTAAAACGGCTGGTTCTAACGCCCCCACATATCTACGTCGCTCTGTGGGAAGATTTGCATAACGCCACCCAAATGTTCACGCAAAGAAAGAAGGTGTAACTTTTATTCTCGCTGTAGTATTGTTGCCGACGCCACCATGTCTTGAAGACGCTGTGTGATTAGTTGTGAAAGCAAAACTACTTTGTTTGGCCTTCCAAAAGAGGACGATATC